CCATTTTAATTATTAATAATAATAATAATTAATAATAATAGCGTTAAATAGTGTTAAGTGTTATTTCAAAATTTAATTAAAAATGTTATAATTATGCACAATCAAGTACCAATAAGAAAACGTAATTTTCCAGATTCTAACCATTCTGCCAATTAATCTTGAATTGAAAAGAAAAGCAATGGTCAGAAAAAATCATTAAATTTTCATGATTACCATTTAATATTTTTTTATCATGATTACAATTATAAAGTTAATTTGAAAAGATTATGATATATTTTAGTTATTTCATAACCTTAAAAAAATTATCAAATCTCAATTGATTTTGTTTTGTTTTATTAACCTTTTTATAGAAATTGAAATAATTTATTTTAGGTCAAATAAGGATCTAAATAATTACAAAATAATATTTATTCTTACATTTATAGAATGATAAATTAAATATTTAAGATAAACATTAGAGTTCTTATTTACTTTATCTTTTATATATTTATAATATACTTTTTTTGTTAATTTTATTAACAATATATTTATAGTTAACAATACATCCTTTAAACTACGTTATTTTTTTCAAGAATGTAAATGTAACCTTTCAAAAAATATACACAAATATATTTAGAAGTCGGTAGAAAATTTTATTGGTTAAATTATAATTCCATTCAAAATTTATTGATCATAAATTTTTGAAATCAAATCATGCATAAAAATAAAATGTATTAATGTGACCATTCAAAATATTTTCTATATATAATAAAAATAAATAATATTAATACCTCCATTCAAAAGATATATTTGTAAAGTTTTGATTTAATTTTTTTCATATCTTTATATATTCTAATGTATATAATACTCCTACAATATGAAACAGTATCAAACCTATAATATTAAAAGAGAATTCAAATTTTATTGATCATAATATTTTATGGAATCAAATCTTATATAAAAATTATATTTATGTCACCAATAATTTCCATATAAGTATAATAAAAATAAATGATAATAATGTCTTCATTCAAAAGATATATTGGTAAAGTATCGAATTAAATGGTACTCCAATATTTGATTAAAAATTATAATATTTGTTTTTAATATTGTATAAAAATATACTAATTAGTCGTACTTTAAAAAAATAAATCGTAAATATTTTATTAAAAATTGTAATATTTGTTTCTAAAATTATAGCAATTAAAAATAAAAAAATACCAATATAAAATAAAAAATTTATTCAAATTTCACGACAAATGAGAATTCTAATTTCGATTCAAAATAAATTAGAATTTTTAAGGCACATTAACACCAAATTGTAGGTTATTAACTTCTCTTTAGGAGAAGAGAAATTCTATTTAAAAAAGATGGAAAATATGTTAATTGAACGAAACTTAGAGAAGTGTGTTTGCTAGAGGCAATGCTACATTCAAAAGAAAATTTGGCGTAAAATAAATTTCATTAAAAGATAGGCCAACATAATTTGCAGTAGAAAAATATATTATGCCAAAACCAATGTTGATATGACATACAGAATATGAAAGCAATAATAATATACATATACATAATTTGAATCAAATCTTGTTAAAAACATTCTTCTATTATGGTTCTTCTGAAATTAAAAACATATTACTTTAGAAGTTCGGGTGAATAAGAGTCTCATCCCTTTGACTATCCTCGTGTTCATCAAAATCTTGTTACTCTTCCAAAAACAGTTCCTCCAAACATTGCAATGAGACATTTGCATTTGCTATCTGTCAGAAAATACAATTAGTATATAATCAATACCTGCCAATGAAAGCCATTGATATTCCTTGTGGAAGCATAAAATTCAATGGTTTCAATTTCCTAATCTTCAATTACGACTGTAGATGGAAATCAAATGCTCGGGAAATCAAATCATCTGCACCATATTGAACATATATTTACTATTATAAGGTTAACTATCAAATGACTTGAATGAAAACATAAGTTAACACTTGGCTTTGATGATGAATCACATGTGAAAATTGACTCGATTAAGTAGATTTAAAATAGTGGTCTCTGGTTCTGTTGTGGCAGTCTCCAATTCTTCTTTAGCAATATTTTTGTTTGTGAAATTAGAGAAGCAAATGGTCACTCAGCCATGACCATGGTGAATATTTGCACTTAAAATGCTAAGACAACTCTGCAAACAATAATATTATAAAGCATTAAAACTAAAAACAAACTGTTTATTTCTTGGGCATGATAAAAAGCCACACCATAAACTTCAGGCCAATTTGAATTCATGGGAGAAGGCCGGTGACAGCCCTGTCCATCATTGCACATATGGGAGAAGGCCGGTGACAGCCCTGTCCATCATTGCACACAGTAAGTTTAGGAAGATCATTGGTGCAACAGATGTCCTGTTGACCCCCATAAGCCGAACCATAAGCCGAACCACTGATCCTCTCTCTATCTTCAACCTCAAAAACAAATGCTTGAATCGATCATGAGGTAAAGTTTGATAATTCCTTGTTAAGACAGATTGTGACTATATTAAACTTGTTTTCACATGACAAAATCAAATCGCAATCAGCATAATTTCATTTTACGTATCAATGTATAAAAATTAAACTGTGAAACAATCCGTTATTCAATTTGTTGATTGGTCCCCTACTGATTCAAGTGTGAAATCAATTATCAGCCTCCATATCCATACATATTCCAAAAGAAGAACCGATTAAATCAAGAAAATAAATACAAAAATCTCAATTAGATACAAATAAATATAACAAAATTGATGAGAATATACTGCCTTCTTTTATCAAACATGTGATGGGAGAAATTGAAATTTAAATAGATTAATAATAAATTGAAAGAGGAAGCAAAAGAAATAAGCTTCTATCTATTTGGGAAAAACGATTTCTTTGGTTGTATAGATTTACCGTTTCAAGAACTCAACATTTATTTATGATGGTTGTTCATCTTGTGCTGCCAATTTAAATCTTGCAACAAAAAACGTGATTAGGGTTTAGTGGAATAATTAGAATTTCAAAACCCAGTGTACATAGCAGCTATAATATGAGTGTTTTAATTTAAATTTCAAATTGAATGACCTTTGGTTTGGACGAGGGTTTTGGGAAGTGATATGTAGCACATAATTAGGTGTGATTATAACGTGTAAATATAAACAAAATGGCATAATTGTTGTTAGTTAGAAATAATTAAAAAAAATAAAAAGTGGCAGAAAAAACCATAATGTGACACATCGACCATATTTATTGTCAAATCAATATGGTGCAAGTATTTCAGAAAGTTACAAATATACCCTTGAAATAAGAAAAGTTATAACATCTAATCAAAAGGTTAGACTTAGAATTTCTAAGTACTTTACTTTTAATAGATTGATAATAGATTATTTTGAAACTATTACAATACATTTCTTATTTATAATCATTATCTCAAGTATTATTAACATTACACGGGTACATAACTAAAATTAAATATTTTTCTTATACATAAATATATATAAAAAATTGATGCATCATCATTTAACATCCATTTTAACTATATGAATCATTGCTACCCATTAATTTAAATATTAAAAATAAAATTATTTTGAATAATCAAAATTTAATTTAGTCTCTACAAAAAATTACGTTAATTTATCACTAATAAAAGAAAAGGGTCAACTATTTTTAAGAGAAAAAGGTCATAAATTATTGTAAAAAAATAATTGAAAAAAATAATTGTCATAAAATTCAATTACATCATTGAAAAAACTAAATTCTGATAAAATATTTTCAATGAATTATATTTAGAGTTTTTCCCAATTAAATTTAAAAACAAAAATAACAAATATTTTAATTTTGTATTATTAACATTTTTCTGGAGAAAAAAAATGCACATGAATAATAAATACACTATTTTATTTCACTTGAACATTAAAAAAATAATACATGTGATATTGTAACCCAAATATTAAAAGCTATTCAACACAACAGCTCAAATGCTCTTGCAACAAGATAATACAACTAACACCGTTTTATTTTTGAAATAAAATTGTCTTCAAAAATCTTAAAAGAAATGTTGCAAATCTACACAGTATCATGAATTTCTGTACCAACTACTATTAAATAAGAGCCAATTTTAAAAACACAAACTAAACAGATAATTAAATTTGTTTTATAATCAGATAAATATACTATCAAGTTTATGAATATTAACAATATACTTGGAGACTATATCAGCATCCAATAATTCAAAATAAAAAAGATGGTCAAGTAGAAGAAGAAGAAAATAAAAATAAAAAACAGAATAAGAAAAAGAACAAGAAAAACGTGGAAAAGAAAATGATGATAACAACTTCAATGGTAAATCATATAAGAAAAGAAAAACAAAAATTCACATTGTTAAACTAAGGTTAATCATAACAAAAATTCACATTGTTAAACTAAAATTTAGACACAGTATTTGACACCGTATATTAACGGTATATTATTGTTTCTATTTCTTCTACTTTTTGATATTATATTGTTGCACGAATTCCAAAAATACATTAATACATCCTAAAATTACAAATGACACCTATTTAATACCTAATTTTGAATCTACAAATATCATTTCTCAAATGAATCAACCAATATGATTACCCTTATGAAAATTTTTATTGGTGGATTCCCTCTGCATGTGTGCTTTCTTCCTACTCCAAAATACCTTTTACACAAATGTCAAACTAGTACAAGGTCCCTAAAGTAAGAAGTTGGTAAAACTGCTTCCTTTTCTATGAAGTCATAAAACTTTACCTATCAACATTCATTAAAATAAATACCATACTCAAAAAAAATGATGAAGGTGTTATGTGTATGAACCATTATCAAAATGTCCTTACACATTTTCTTATCAATTCTTAGTTAACATAACTTCTTTCCATGTCTTGTATGATGTTTCCCTCAACCCTATTTATATGGACACACACCTAGAATGTTTTTCCTCAACCGCTTCACACTAACCTCAAAAGAATCTTAAAACTCTCACCAAATATACCAACAAAAATGACAAGAAAATCCCTTATTTGTTCTTTGGTTCTTGTGATGATTGTTTCTTTCGTTATAATTCATGTTTGTGGTGAGAATTTTCATGTTAGGAAAATTTCCAATGGAAACCATCATGAAACAATACGTAGATTGCAATCATTGAAAGCCTCGTTAACAAGACATGATTCCATTGCTTCAACTCCTTCTTCTTCCTTCTCTCATTCTCCTTCACCTTCTTCTCAGCCAAGTGAGGTAAATTCAATCATGCACAAACATTGAGTTTTGGTTTTTGTTTAGTTGCAGGGCTGTCACGATTAAACCCGCAGTAAATATGGTCTTTATTTGTTTTGTCATGATGAAACTCATTCTCCAAAAATTTGAGACGAGCTGTTTTAAGTTTTGTAGAAAACTTCAAATGTTTGATGTTAATTCATGTCATGTAGGGTATGAACAATCCAAGAGTATTCTATGTGACATCTTATGGTGCAGACCCAACAGGAAATTCAGATAGTACTGAAGCTATCCTTGCAGCCATAGCAGATGCAGCCAATGTTTTAAGTGAAGGACATTTGATGGAAGGCATCAACAACCTTGGAGGTGCGCAGGTTAATCTCGAAGGTGGAAATTACTTGATCCGCCGGTCACTCATGCTTCCGGTATCCGGCGTTGGTAACCTCATGGTATGTAGAAATATAAACTATTTTATTTGCTAACTTATTTCATACACCATACTTTTTTTGTTTATATAAATTAGATATCTCTGCGCGTAACTGTAAAAACTTTCGTTCCCAGTAAGATCAAATAGGCTGTAAATCCTTCAATATTGTCCTTTTTGACTATATGAAAAGCATCTACCAAATTTTACATAGCCCTTGTCATTATTTGACAATTGGCAGTGTTTTAAGACTTTAGGAATGTGCTATATTTGATTTTTTTTAGACAAAAGTAGTCTCAATTTAGCATATTTTAGTCATGATGGGGAAGCAGTTGGTCTAACTAGAACAAAAAATTGAATATGACTAGTTCTTATGTTTGCCAATTATACCCTTTTGACATGTCAAATTGATTTGAAAAACAGATACATGGAGGAACATTAAAAGCCTCAGATGATTTTCCTATAGATGGCTATATTATTGATTTATCATCAACCTCTTCTAATGAAAAGGATTCCTACAATTTTGAATACATAACTCTCAAGGATCTTTTATTAGATTCAAACTTTAGAGGAGGGGGCATTTCAGTCATAAACTCACTCAGAACAAACATAGACAACTGTTACATTACACATTTCACAACAAATGGAATTTTAGTCCAAAGTGGTCATGAAACATACATAAGAAACTCGTTCCTCGGCCAACACATAACTGCGGGAGGCGATAAAGCCGAAAGAAATTTCTCAGGAACAGCGATAAACCTCCAAGGTAACGATAACGCTGTCACGGATGTTGTAATTTTCTCGGCTCAAATAGGAATCATGGTCACTGGTCAAGCCAACATATTTTCTGGTGTACATTGTTACAATAAGGCCACAGGATTCGGCGGGACCGGGATTTATTTGAAACTACCTGGTTTAACACAAACAAGAATTGTGAATTCTTACATGGATTACACTAGTATTGTTGCTGAAGATCCTGTTCAACTTCATATTTCTGGTAGCTTCTTCCTGGGTGATGCGAATATTGTGTTGAAATCTATGAATGGTGTCTTAAATGGTGTTACTATTGTTGATAACATGTTCTCTGGATCAAATCAAGGTGTTGAAATCGTTCATTTGGATAAATCAAATAGTCCTTTTCATCAAATCGATCAAGTTATTGTTGATAGGAACATTGCAAGAGGAATGAGTTTAAAGGCAACGGTTGCGAAAATGTCTATGCAAGGGAATGGAACTTTATGGAATGTTGATTTCAACAACGTTCTTCTTTTTCCTAACCTTATTAAAAATGTTCAGTACTCATTGAGTTCAACAGGTAGGAGTTTTCCTAGACATGCGATTAGGAATGTGTCGGATAATCGCGTTGTGATTCAAACGGATAAAGTGGTTACTGCGAATGTTTTCGTCATGGTGGATCAGAGTATGGTGAATTGAAGAAGGTTTGAAGAAATTGACATGAAAGTAAGGATAAGAAGTTGTGAATTATAGTTGAAAAGGAAATGTGCATACATTTGTTAGAGTCTCCTGTAGGTTCCACATTCTAGTGCTGCTTTGTTTCGGTTTGTTCATATGTCTGCAGGGATTTGGTTGTAATTGTTTTATAAAGAATTGTATCGCAGAATTTTAATACAAATTTATTCTCTGATTTTCATTGTGCCAGGTGTCAATACTTGCTTTAGAAGTTAGATTCTGAAGATGTCAATCCATAAGAAATTATTAGCTTTAGAAAAATAGAAGAAAGTTATTATTCTGCAGATACTGCTGTCCAAGTCAGTGAGATCAATGAATATGCCTATCAAATTATTGTATATTAAAGTAATATAGTTTCTTAGATGAATTATAGGGAGAAGTTACAATATGTTACATTCATACTGCTAGATGACAGAAACTCCACCAAAGCTAATCCAACCCCAAAATTAATTACAGCTACTGAAATACGTACAAACATTGATAAACAAGATTCTACACACAACCAAATCCAAGCTACCGATAAGAACCGCCTCAAGCAAAGAACCAAGCTCGAATGCACCACATGCACAAAAGACCTTACATTGTACTCCAAATGAATGTTGGCAGCCCATCGACTCTTATTATAATTTGCATATTCAACTTCAGGAGGGCGAGAAAAGCCTTTTATCAATTTCGTAAATTGATACTGCAGTCTTTGAAGTTGGCTACCACCCTGTTCATTTTTGGACGAACATATAACAGAAAACCTTGGAGTATTCATAGCAGCAGGGATAGCTTAGCCGCATCTTTTGTTGTATCCCTCCTCTGTAACACCCGGCATTTGTTCCTTCCTAAAAAAGACAGAGATGAGCAATTTATCTCGGAATCAACTGCGACACAGCAAAAGTTCAGGTGATTTGGCAATTGCAACTATATATATAGTGAAGCAAAGAAATAACTATGTAGAAGATATTTTGATGAACCGGGAGAAAGATTGATTGGAGAAAGAGTAGACAGGAAGGTCAAAAGAGAAGGTTCAATGATACATTGAAGATAATTAAGTGTTTGTTTGGTTTTGTGGTGACAAAAATTGATTTAGTCTAAAAGTGTGCCTAATGTAAAGTATTTTATATTTAGATACATTCATGTAAAAGTGGGCTAACAATAAATTTCAGTCTAAATCAATTTTGCTTCCCCAAAATTTGAACCTAACATACACTAAGACTTAGGAATGAAGAACAAAAAGAGTAATAAAGCAAACTTGATAAACTATAATGGAGGCATATAGTCCAACAAAAATGCAGGAGAAAATAGCCAATAAAATGCCTGCAAAGACAACAAGAGGCCACACAAATATTGTCAAACAAGCAATTGGGACACAAACTGTTTCAAGGAATGGACCTTCTCTGCTAATTAAATCAAGCAAAAGTTTGTACCAACCTTTCTGAATCACATCATTTGAAACTGAAACTTCACTTCTTATCTCAAATGATTTTCATCAAGCCGCGTTGGCCATGCTCCATAACCAGCTTATTCTTGCTATATCTTGAAAATTGTTCTTTCATTCTCATTGCTACTTCTTCTGCATCAGATTGCAAAAAGACCTGATCAAAGAACACAAGTTGGAGTAAGTCATCACTCGACGCTACAAGTATCACTAAACATGGAGCAACACAATAAATATAATACCAAAAATCAATGTTGTCAATCTTGAATCATAGAAAACGTTGTATAGCGACGTTATAACCGCTAATTTGATGAACTGGGTGAATGATTGATTGGAGAAAGAGTAGACAGAATGTATGAGACAAACCCAAATAAGCCCAAACAACAAATTAATGATACAACTTCAATGGAAATTGTTGTATTTGTAATTCAAAACCAAATAAGTCTAAATAACAATGCTAATAATAGATTATAAATGTACTAAATAAAACCAAATAAGTCTAAAGAAAACGACTGAGAGAAGTGAGAAATTGGGATTAAGAATTGAAACCGCGATTGATAGAGCTTGAGAGAAACAGAAAAAATCGATAACTTGACAGAAACAGAAAAAAATGGAAAAAGCTTCGTTACAGTAATTTAACAAAAAATAATTGAAGAATATTATGAAAAGTAATGGCAGCCTCGTCAAATTATCATATATTGTGTTATTATAGTTACGTATGTATGGGATAGTTAAGTAAATTTATATTTTATTGACTCAATCTTTTTTTACTGATACTCTCTACGAGTTGTTATCAAATAATTCTAAGTAGTTCAACTGGAAATATTAACTCATACTTTCCTCCTTATGAGAGATTTTTTAATATTTATTTGGCATCACAATGAGTATGACAAAATTAAAGTGAACTTTGTGTTGAAAATATCTTCTACATAGTTATTTCAAGGCCACCATCTTATATTATCGATCGCATCAACTTTGGGGCTGATATTTGTTAGCAGTTCAATTATGCCAAACGCTTCCGTTGTTGCAATCGGGTCGTTGAGCAACACATCTGTGTCAATGTGCAGGTTCCACGTCCAACAATTGTCCTGCCAGCCACCCATCTCGCAAACCTTCCCCAATGGCTTTCCAAATATTCTAAACAGGTTTGAGAAAAGGTTTTTGAGTGGAGCCTTCCCAATTCACCTGTTGTGCCAGAAAAGAATGTTGTCTCCTGCGCCTAATTTAGCAAAAATGCCACCTGCAAAACAGTCAAAGTTAGATTTAAGGGTGCTAACAGAGATTACATCCTTCCACCAGGCTGAAAATTTTTTGGTCTTCTTAGCATCAATTCCAAACATCACAGAGTGTTGCAAATCCCCATATCTAGCATTCAAACTTTGTTTCCATGTAGTGTCTTCTTCAACCAAAATTCTCCACTTCTGTTTACATAGTAATGCCCCATTAAAGTATCCTATATGCCTTATACCGAGTCCACCTTCTTCTTTGGGCCTGCAGATGTTGTTCCAACTCACCCAACTAATGCATCTTTTATCTTCCTTACTGCACCAGAGAAATCTACTCTTAATTTTGATAGTCTCATTTATGATCTTGACTGGTGCCTTGAATAAGGACATGGTGTATATTGGGATACTTGATAGTATCGAATTCAACAGTGTTACCCTCCCATCAATTGATAACAACCGTGCTTTCCACGTTGACAATTTTTTCTTTAGATTATCCAACACCGAATTCCAAGAGGCGCATGTTCTTGGATTTGATCCAACCTGTATCCCTAAGAATTTGAAAGGCAAGTTATCTCTGCAATAACAAAGGAAATGGGATGCGGTTTCCATGAAGCTCTCATCCATGTTCACCCTATAAATTTTGCTTTTATAAAAGTTAACCTTAAGTCCCGATACTAATTCGAACCCCTTGAAAATGGTCTTAATACTCCATAAGTTATTCCAACAACCCTTCCCTACAAGAATCGTGTCATCTGCGAATTGAAGAAGCTTGATTTCCAAATCACCATTCACCTTATACCCTTTAAACCTTCCATCATTCACAGCTTTTTGTACTAAAGTTTCCAACCTTCAGCCACCAAAGTGAACAGAAAAGGTGATAACAGGTCGCCTTGTTACAAACCCCTTTCTACCCAAAAATTGTTAGTTGGACTTCCATTTACTATAATTGACATGGAGCTATTAAAGATGCAAGCTTCCATCCATCTACACCACAAAATGGCAAAGCCAAAATTTTGCAACATACTTCTCAGAAAGTTCCAATTGACGCAATCATATGCTTGCTGAAAATCCACCTTAAGGATAAAACATTCCTTCTTCTCTTTTCTAGCATGATCAATTATTTCATTCAAGGCCAACACTCCATCCAAAATTTGTCTACCCGATACAAAAGAAGTTTGTGATGTTGAGATTAACCCTTTCAAAACTGTTTTGATTCTATTCACAAGCAATTTTGCCAGAATTTTATACAAATAACCAACTAAGCAAATAGGCTGGTATTCTTTGAGACCCTGAGGATTGGAAATTTTCAGGATCAATGCAATAAATTATGTTGTTATTTCTTTAGGTAGGGAAGCATTCATGTGAAACTCCATAACAAACTTTGTAACATCTTCCTCAAGGAGATTCCAAAATTCTTGAAGAAACCTGAAATTGATTCCATCGGGTCCGAGACTTTTCTTACCATCTGAATCCCACACAGCAACCCTAATCTCTTCACTCGTGAATTCAGCCTCCAAAAGAGATTTATCCCTATCTGATATTTTATTGAACCTCATCCCTTCAAACACAGGTCTTTCCATCAGTTCCTTCATAAATATGTTTTTGAACACATTGAGAATTTCAGCTCGAATTCCTATGACGTCTTCAATACATTCCCCCTGACTATTTTAGACCGAAACGATAGAGTTCATTCTTCTTCTTCCTTTGATCACTGAATGAAATTACCTCGTGTTTTGATCCCCTCGTTTAACCACTTTTACCTTGACTTTTGTTTCAACACACTCTCTTTAAGATTAATATATTTCCAGAAATTGTCAACAACTTCCTTTCTTGTTGAAGCCAGAAGTTTGAAATCAGTTGCTGCATCTTCTAGATCAGTCTCATCACACTCTCTCCTCTTTAACACCGCCTCCTCCATCTTGAGATCAATCAAACCAAAACATTCCTTGTTCCAGAACCTCAACTTGTTCCTCATCATTATGAACTTTTCTTTCATAATAAACGTCTACTTGCCAACAACCATAGAAGACCTCCAAACCTCCTTCACGAATCCTTTGAAATCCTTGTTTTCAAACCAATAAGTATTCACCCTAAAGGGCTTTGGTCCCCATTCCAACTCATTAGCTTTTAACCATATTAGAGAGTGATCTGAAATATCTTTATCACACGTAATCTAACCAATGATCTTCCAATTGTCAATCATTGATTCAGATAGTAGGAACCTATCTAACGTGCTCCTCGTGATACCTTCTTTATTATACCAAGTGAATTTATTGCAAATGGGTGAACGAGCAGTGAGACCGAAGGATAAGTCACTTGCTCGAGAGGACCGTATTAGTTACGGGGAACCTCCGCGATATCTCTTTCAACACGCCCGTCCTCAGGGAGTTGTCGGTGTGTCGAGCATTATTTTGTCCTTGAGGTGGTTGAATGGATGTGCCCGCGTACGTGCCATAGTGTCGAGCATTCCCTCACGTGGGGTATCTGTCTCGTGCTTGTATGGAGATTATGCGTTGGAGTCGGGCATATGCTCATCGATCAAGAAGGGACACATGGTTGACAGTTGAGCCACATGGCTAACGCTTTAGGGTGCCACCCTTTCAAGGGGAAACCCAAAAGGCCCAATCAAATGATGACCTTTCGTGAGGGACCTCGTGGGGCGTGGGTCACCTATAAAAGGGGGCCCCTGGGTCTCATTTGTCATCTTCTCAAGTTTCCTTTCAACTTTTCTTGCTCGTTGTGTGAAGCAATCCTCTCAACTTCCCAGATTTTCTTGCTCGTTGTGTGAAGAAATCCTCTCAACTTCCCAGATTTTCTCTTTGAGTTCTTTATCCAAGTAAGTTACAACCTCTTAACTCCATATTTCTGCAGTATTTCTAGATTAAATGTCTAAAATATGCCTTGATTGGATGAACATTTATGAGTTCTATGATGAACACTCATGAATGTTAATTGAAGTTCATGAGTTCTGCGTCGAACACTCATGAATGTTCATTGACATTCACTAGCTATAGCATCAGGGGGATCTCCCCGAATAGTGGCCGTAGCACAGGGGACGTTTTCCCCAGATAACAGGGATTATCTTGGGTTTCTTGCTCGGTGAGTGAC